CGGCGGCGGCAGCAAAGAGTCTCGATTCGCGCGGCGCGGGGAGCCATGCGCTGCGGGCTGTGATGTCCGCGGAACAGGAGAAGGACCCCGTCGCGCTCAAGAGGTCCCGAGGTGCGGCTGGGCGCGGCGGCGGCTGCCCGGGGGGAGGCTCCGGGCCTAGGACGGGGATGCGGGGTGCGGGAGCCGGGCCGCGAGGAGCCTGCCCGCCGCTCGGCTCCGGGGCGGCCGCGCCGTGGCACGCTCGTACCCAGAAGCCTTTGAAAGTAGCGCCGGGCGGCTCGGAAAGCCATGTTAAGTTTGCCCGCTTAGGCCCCGGTCCTGCGGGCCGAGCCCTCCCGCCAGCCTCGCGCGGGGCGGGGGCCTTCCTCTTCCCGGACAAAAGTTGGGAGTCCAGGAGCGCCGGTGCCTCGTACGGGGGCCGCAGCCGCGTGCGGACCGGGGCAGTGCGGGCTGTGGCACCGGACCTCGCCTCGCCAGGCGGTTGGGGTTTCCCCCTCAACGCGGCCCCCGCGGTCGTTTTATCCTGGAAGCGGGGGGGGGGCAGCTGCCTCCTCTTGGCCAGGCTGGGCTGGGGAGATTGCAGTTCAGCCCCAGCCACGGATGTGTTAGGAAAAGAGGTGAAAGCGGGGGTGTTGTCCCTCACTGCTGTTTGCTGTGCACAGCCACAGCTGCCTCTTTACCAGGGCCAAAGAAAGAAACTTCCTTGGGATGGAAATGCTGGGTGTCAGCAGGACAGCTGTCTGGGCTGGAGCTTATCGTGACATAATTCATTCTCTCTTTTTTTGTCTTCCCTTCACATTTGTCTCTGTGGGAGCTGGGGACCAGGGAGACAGGCGAGGCTTTTGCTGTGGGTCTTTCAGTCAGATGTTTACAATTCACTTGAAAGTTTTGTCCAGCACCTGGAGAGCAGCAGCCCCAATACTTATCAGATTAGCCAGAGCAAACCTGCCCTGACCACACATGGAGCTGGGATTCATTAAACAGACTGACCTCCTGAGCTGTGATCCCACGGATTCTCAAATAGGCACATAACTTGAGTAACCAATTGAACTTGGTGAGATGATTGCTCAAGGGCATATGTTTTCAGTACCAGAAGCCACGGTGGATTCTCACAAAACAGTGCACATATTAATATATTATACCCTCTTTCCCCCCCATTCTGTCTCCATAAAAATCAAGCTTTTGGGCACAGTATCCTTCTTTAGAGCTGAATAAATGTTCCCAAAAGATTTGTCTAACATCTCTTCCAACTGTACAGATTTTCCAGTAAAAAGATATACCCAAAAAACCTGTATCATCATGGCTACAACATTCCACCCCATAAAAGTTAAATATATATGTCATATATATATGACTTTTAAACATACACTCACACACACGTGTGTGTGTGACTTCATATACATACGTGTGTGTGTGACTTCAGACAGCCAAAATACAGTTTGCACAAACATGTATATATATCTTACTTATTAAGAACTGTGGTTGCAATCCTGTCAAAACCTATGGGTGTTTTAATTACCATACTATGAATAAAGGATCATGTGCAACATATTAAGTTAAGCATGTGCATGATATTCTTTGCCGATTCAGGGTTTGTTTATTAACATGGAAAATTTTAAGTTTCAACTGTATTGATGAAAACTGCAATGAGTATGTACATAGCAATATATATCTGTAATGGAGTGAAATATATATATACACACACACACCTCACTCTTCCCAAACTCAAAAAGGCTGAATGTTTTCTTTAACATTTTAACAGAGGAAAAGTAGCTCAGATGCAACAAGCACAGTCTCAGCTAAGAAGCATTTTTGTCTAGAAAAGTAAGAATGTCTGAGAATCCAGGGTTATCACAGACATTTTGCAACCTTAGCTGAGATGTCTAGTATGGTATATCTCAACATACCAGTGTTCAGCACACACTAATGAGAAGTCTGTGTGGGGGATACAAGAAGCAACTTTCAGGAAAGTTTATTTTGGCTACATTATAATGATGCTCATTCACTCTTTTTTGGAGGCATGCTAGGACTAACATTCATTTTACTTTTATGTATAAATTAAATCCATATAAAATCCAACAGGAAAATATATAAATTAATAGACCTAGCTTACATTAATGGCCTCACACAGTGAAAGATGAGGTCACAAAAGCTTAGTACTTTTTTCAAACCTAAGACATGGTTCTGCAGACCCTAGAGTGAATTAACTTTACTAATCCAAGTACTTCCATTGTTGGTGTATGGTATTACTTATGTGGGTTATAAGGTTACTCCTACGCTTAATTTTTATCGGATCCAGTTCTTGAGTGCAAGATGACACTTAATGAATGTGCAGAGCTTTGAGCAGTCCACAGTACAACAAACATTTGCTCTGGGTCCTTGGTGATGGAGCTGGTCACATGCTTACCAATCCTTGCTACCAGCTGCTGAATTTCATTGATACGAGCCAAGCATACAGTACAGTTTCCTAAGAAAACTGGCATATGGATGGAAAGTGAACATGAATGAGAGAGAAGGTAGCCTGTGTAATTGTGAATGGAAGGGAAGGTATCCACAAGACAGTGTCCATATTACTTTGATATAAGGGTTTGAGAGGCTGAGAGAATGTCTGGTTGTTGGAGACCGTAGGATTGGAATTTAGGGGATGTTTGTAATGAGCCTCCTCATAAGGAAATGTATATTTTGATACTAAATATGTACAATTCATGGGGTGCTCTACTTCACAGAGTAGTAGGGGTGCACACAGCATTTTACATTACAAACCTGTAAGAAATTGGATTTCTCTCTAAATCCCAAAGAGTTACTTTAACAGCAAATCTTGCCATGATTTGCTGTGTTGTACAAATGCTTGAGCATGAATTTATTTTCAAACCCTTACATGACAAGCATTTCCTGTGGCCTGATCTTTAAAATCTAGGACTTGAATGTACCAGTCGGTTTCCAGTAATGATTAACTGTTGATTTGAGAAGGACGTTTTTCTTGTACGTAGTGTAATGTTTTAGAAATTGTGTGTATGAAAAATGAGATGGGATTTTAACTATGACAACCAGAACAAGGAGGAAGTTATTTAAAGCAGGTACAGAATAGGATTCCTGTGCCAGGACTGGTAATTCCCTCAAAAACCTTTTATGAGTTAACCTGAGTGGAAATTGTCCTCCTCTTGAGGGAAATATAAAGGAAATCTTTACCTTTTGGCAGAAGAGTGGTTCTGAGGTGAAGGAACCTATCAAAAGTATCTGAATATCTGTTTATATTTCAGTTATTACAAAATAGGTCTTTCTCCCCTGTGTTGGTGCAGACTGCTGTAGCTGTCCACTGGGAGTCTCTCCCTACTGCCAGGGGAATCCTTGAATGACACTGATCTGTTATGGTACCTGTGCTGTGCCTACTTTGGTGACCTGTCATCCATATGCCCTGGTGATACACAGTTAGCTTCAGGTCACACGAATTTATGCCAGGGATCTTAACCGGCCAGATTTTTAGACATTTAGGCATCTACAGATGCAGGTAAGCACCTATTGGGATTTTTAAAAGCATGTGAACAGAAGTTAATGGGAGTTAAATGCTTACCTATTAGGCACTTTTATTAATCCTGGTATCTTTTTTTTTTAAGTGAATATCTGGTAACTAAGTCGGGGTGGGCAAAATGTGGCCCGGGGGTGGATGCAGTCTGCCAGGTTTGCCAAAACTCAGTAAGCGGCCCTCTGCCCAAAATAATTGCCCACCCCTGAACTAAGTGATAGTGTTGTATGCTGTAATCCAAATGTGAAGCAGAACGTTTTCACCTTCTTGGAAGTTGGAGTTTGTCAAGTTTCTAAATATAGATTATTTTAAACAACTACTAGTAGACATCTTAGCCATTGCACACTTTCCTCCGTATTTAGCAAAGAATTATTTTTTGTCGTTATGCATAATAAAAGATGTAGGCAGGTGGATATTACAGCATGGAGAATAACGAGCTTTGGTTCAGACTGCTCATATTGATGGCTCTAACATCAAAAACTGTTGGTGTCAAGTCCTACATCAGTAGCTTTCCATGCTTTGTGATTTTTGGTTTAAGATTATTACTCTTCATATTTTTAAAACAAAATTGGTTTGAATGCCAGGAAAGGGAAAATGGCTGGCCTAATGGACCATTTACCATTCATATTTCCTCTATCTGTGCAGGCTTTAAAGAATTTAAAAATAAAGTGCCATGTTTTCTTATTTAGGATCCTGTATAGCTTCAGGACCTTTTCACAATCATAGAAAAGGTATATGTGAAGGTTGAGTGAATCATGGAGTTTTCTTTATAGTAGACAAAATAAATAGCTCAAGAAGGTTAAACATCCCTGAGTTTCAGGAAACTGTGTCAGAATTGCTTTGGCTGATTGCACCAGGATGTCTTTGGAAAGGAATCTGCTCATGCAGACTCTTGTTGATCGTAATTAGTCTTATGAGGTGACCTTTTGCTCGATCAAGATTCACAATGATGGTAGCTAGAATTGGTAAGCTGGGAGGCCTGCCTAAACTGTATGCTATGTTTTCATTCATAGATTTGATTCATCTTGCTTTTTTGTTGAGAAATACTGTAATTGCCTAATTGCCTATGAATGCCAAGTGTGGGTAAGTTATGTAGGGGTTGTTTAAGTGTTTTTTTTTTTATGGTTTATTTGAAAGTTGTGTTATATGTAAAAGAAAAGAAAAGCTTTCTTAGTGGTGAAGCACCTAAGACCTGATCTCAAACCCAATTAAATGAATGGCAGTCTTTCTACTGACTGTAATGGGCTTTTAATTGGACCCCTGGTGCTAATGGAGATGGATAGCTGTACTTGTGGTGTGCTGCTTTTTACCTCAAGGTGTGTTGTGTGTGCGGCCGCCATTGTTTAAGCCTAAAATTAGGGATACTCTGCTACCCGTAAGCTTTTTCTTATCTGTGTGACAAAGGCACATATTTGTGTAACATCTACATGGAAACAAATGCAGAATTACATTGATTGAAATTTTGTAGGTGGTGATAGTGGATTGGATGGGTTAGGAGGACCAGGAGTACAACTTGGAAGCCCAGATAAGAAAAAGCGCAAGTCAAATACTCAGGTAAGTTCACTCTGGTTCTCTTGATTTTTTTTACTAAATAATGGACTCAAATGTTGTTTATTAATATAACTGTCTCTTCCATCTAGGAATACCAACCTTTTATCACAAGCAGAATGGTAGCCAAGATCTTATAAGTAAGTGCATAAGGTGACATTTTAGATCCCTGTATATCCTCAGAGGATACTAGTAACTCCCATTGAAGTTATGGGGGTTGCTTGAATCCAGTGAGGAAAGACTAGATCTCTGCTAAGCAGCACTGCTAGAGTAAACAGGCTTTGTTTAGTCATGGATTTGGTGATGAGCAGAATTTTGTTCCCAGGTTTTTAGTCTTTGGTGTAAATCTGCAGAGAATGAGGAATGGCTGTGAGATGCTTTCGCCTGCTCCCCTTGCTGCGTGTATATGCAGCACAGGACAGGGGGAGGAGAAGCATATATATGTATAGGCTTGTGAGCTAATAGAGACTTATAGTTTATGAACCCATTGGCCAGACCTTTAGTCCACTCTCGATGATTTTTCAATGCAGAGAGCCCTGAGGCAAATATGCGGCATGTCTGTACTGCTTTCATGATTTTTCTGAGAGCAGACTCTTCAGCTTGCTCCTGCTTCAGATATGCCAAACTTAGAAATGAGGTGGAGGGGGGGAAATCTTCAGGGAAGCTTCGTTGCCTTGTTTCTGTGTTTGGCTTATGTGGAGCTGAAGTGGTGATGGTGGGGGGAAGCAGACATGCTTCTTAGCAGTGCTTTCAGGAGCACTTTGAAAGTGGAGTAGGTGGTATCATCTGAATAAGTAAATATGTATGATTTTGACCTTCCTGTTAACTGGAAATGTGTATTTTCCATTTCCTGCAACAGGGTTTTTGTAGAAGGACGTAGGATATAGGCACTAGTGAGGAATACCTATATTGAGCTATATGTCCTTCATTCAGAAATGTTCACTTGTGTGTCCACTCAGTATTGTGGCTGAGAATATCTAATAGTAGTTATAACTTGGAAAATGATTTATAGAAGTCCTGTAACCACTTTTATATATGTATGCCCAATCCCACTGTTTTTTATTTCTGGTCTGTGTAGTTTTTTTATTCAAGCAATCATGGGGAAAACGCCAGCTTAAGGCACTTTCAGTTATTTCAAGTTTTCCGGTCTCTCTCTCTCTTTCTGTTCCTTCTAGTTAATGACTCTTTCCTTCTGCTGTAGAATAAGGATAACTATAGTGGGTGTGCAAATCCAATTTCCCTGTTTTGTTACCAACTACAAGGCTTGCAGAGTAGTGGAAATATGAAAATAATTTCCGCAGGTGTATGCCACTAAATATTTGGGGCCATATTCTTTTCTGTGCACCAATGACCTACATAGGGTGAGCAGCCAGAATTTTCTTCCCAAGATGGACAAGAAGGAGGATTAGTTACATAACCATTATGTAGCCATTTTTGCACCCTTTGGGTTTCACTAAACACTCCATTATGTGGGGGGTTAGATTGTAGTTTGTTGACTGCCTGTCCCCAGTTTTGAAGCCCTACCACAGAGGTCTCCCTGGTCACAGGAAATAGAGCCCCTTGAGCAGACATCTTACTACCTGTACAACTTTCAGCAGGGATACAGGATAATTACTACTTTCTAAAATCTTCATATCCTCACAGGAAAGCAAATGGGTTAGAGGAAAGATTTGCCCCTGATGTTAATAGACCAAATCTGAGTTATAACCAGAAACACCCTATATCTACTTTTAAATGCATTTAAATAGGAGTTTGGGGGTTTTAACTCTGGAATCTTGCTTCACTTAAATGAAAAAGAAAAGAAAAGCATATGGTGAGTATTTTTAGCAGTATGTTGTGGAGCTGTTTAGTTTTCATAGATTGCTTTAATAGCTTGATGACTTTTATGAAATAGATTTTAAGATGAATTCAGAAAAAGGTTATAGAAGAAGGTACTCTTCTGATACAAAACTTAACTGGCTTCCATAAAGTTCTGAATGGGAAGACACAGCACAATGGATACCTTTGTAAAAAATAAAGGGAATAAGTGGTGGTGATAGTTTTATATATCTGCCAAGAGATGAGTTCTTCCAGGGGCTGCCATATTACAACAGTCATTACTATAACTGGTGCCCTTAGTGGTAGTCTTTGTGAGAGGGACTAAGGATTGAATGAGCCTGGGTAAACTGTTTTCTGTCTTCCTTGTGGATGAAGCTTAAGCCTTCATGAGGCTTAAGCTTTCGATGGCTGTATAGCACTTGGATTGAATAAGTAGAAAGCTTTGGTTTTCTTACAAGGGTTGCCAGTTCTACAGCTTTATGGCTGAAAGCCTGTGATTTATTGCAGGGAAGCTTGCAGAAATGATCATTTTAATGTCATATTCTAAATATTTTCAGGGGTCATCTTTTCCTCCTCCATCTGAATATGCTCCACCACCGAATCCAAGCTCTGACCACCTTGTAGCTGCCAATCCCTTTGATGACAACTATAATACTGTCTCTTATAAACCACTATCTTCAGGAAGTCCTTATTTTAGCAATCCTGGTTATCCTGGCTTTGGAGGCTATAACACTTTCAGAATGCCCCCTCACATGCTGCCCAGAATGTCCTCACCGTACGGCGGTTCCTACTCTCTCAGAAGTCAACCACACGCACTCCCTCAGAACCCCGTGGGAATGGGTTTTAATCGACCTCACTCTTTCAACTTTGGTCCCCATGATAATACAGGTTTTGGAAATCAGCCAGCTTATAACAGTGGTCAGATGCCTCAAAATGTCAATATACCGAGTCAACATTTCAGACCTAACCCTGGTGAGAATTTTGGTCACATTCCTCCACAAAATTCTAATCAAATACCACACCCTGACCTGCCATCTAATTTTGGGCCTGGAAACAGTCAACATTTCCCAAATTCCCAGTTAGATTCAAACCATTCTTTTGTTCCACCCCCCAGCACATATAATCAGACAAAAACATCAGCACAAAAACAAGACTTTAGTCAAGGAGCAAACAAAACCTCCAGCCAGAACGCTACTACTCATCAGCATCACCACAGAACGGATGATATTGTAAATCAAGGTAACACTGATTTAAAAACAGTTAATCGAAACAATGTAGTAAATCAAGACAACAACCATCCTAATAACGGTGATAACACTAATAGTCGTGCTAATGGGACCCAGAACAAGTCCCGTCAGGCTAGACCTGCAGCTGAAGGATGCAACTCTGAAAAGAGCAGCAAAACACCTCTCCATCCCAGTCGTCATGGTCATTCATCCTCTGAGCCAGTCTATCCATGTGGAATTTGTACACATGAAGTTAATGATGACCAGGATGCCATCTTGTGTGAAGCTTCTTGTCAAAAATGGTTTCATCGGATCTGTACAGGGATGACTGAATCAGCGTATGGCCTTCTTACTGCAGAAGCATCAGCAGTATGGGGCTGTGATACCTGCATGGCTGAAAAGGATGTCCAGTTGATGCGCACTAGAGAAACTGCTGGGCCACCTACACTGAATACTGATGGGTGAAGACATGCTTTGATGTGGTGAGCTACAGAAGTACAGCTGTTAATACGTAATTCATCTTCTGCAGACAATCAAGCTTTGTTTGATTGGTTCTTTATGTAGTCTAATTATTTCCACTCATTAAATTCCATCTCAGTTTCTGTACTCTTAGTTTAGGCTTGCGAGTGTTGAAACTTTGATCAGAAACATTACAAAACATTTGAATCTGCAAAACATGACTGATGTTTATTTGATCACAAGCAGGTTTTGCATATTAAAAATGTATTTACTGAATTATTGATGTCAGAACTTACGACTCCATGAATACAAGCTAACAGTAAGTTCTGAGCCTTAATGGTACTATATATTGGAAGCATTCATTTTGTGACTGTCCACTGCAGTTTAGCTGATGTCAGTGCCATGCCCCCTTTAAAGAAGTGGAATGAAGGAAGAGGAGTATTTATGATTTTTAATGGTTTTACAGTGAATGCTAAAGATTTGAAATGTGCTTTAATATTTCTGAAAGGATGACATATCCTGTTTATTTTAATATTTGTGACATTTACACTTAATACAATGAAACCTCAGCAATCCTCTCATATTCATATTTCCAAAAAAAGAAATGTTGTTTCCTGATTTCTCAGCAAGTATTTAGTTGCAAAGGACTTCCATGAGTTCTTGTGTTACTATGAATTCACAATATTTACAAAATATATGATAGAAGTGCATTTAAAATTTAAAAAAAATATATTTTTGTTAAGCTACCATTCAAAAGTTAGGGATGTCATAATTAAGGCTGTTCATTCAACCTTAATTTGGTCATCTTGTGTATATGCACTACGATACAGCCTGTAATTGCATTATCATGTTCTACCTCCTTTTACAGCAGCATGAAGAAGAGCACAGGAAAGAGTATCTTTCTTTCCTCTTTCAGTGTCCCACACTACAGTGACCCAAGGCAGCTGGGGTGAGCAGTTACAGAGGAAGTCCTGCTCATCTCCTGCAGCTATCTGCTGGAGCATACTTGGTCTCCCTTTGGGGATAACTTATGCATAGCCCATTTGGATTTGTGAGGGGGTGGAGCATGTTTAACACAGACCAAATCTTACAAGAACTTAGTGTTCCTTTTTTTCGGTTGTGTAATTTGTCAAAAAATGGGTGATTTTTTTCCACAGGTAAAGGAAAAGTTACAACCCCGACACTACAGTGGCCTCTCTGCTGAACTTCCTCTATGTTCCAAAGTTCTGGATCATCTCAACAAAACGGTTTTGAGATTTTTTTTTTAAATGGGTGAAGAAGCAATGTAATTTTCCCTAGTCTCATTCTCAGAGAGCAGAACCATTGCATTTTCCATGTTGGAGATGGCCAGCATGGAAAATGTCAACCTGAACAAGGTTATAAACCCCTGTTTTCAGTTGCTTACAATAAGTACTGAGAAACCCTAATTACATGCAGTGCTAAAATGATAGGCAGTACATTCTTACTCTGTGCTGTGAGGTATTATTGTTACTGAAACCAGACACTTGCCAAACATCACAAGTGTTATTATCATTGTTTAGAAAGTGCTCAGATACTATGGGAATGAGCTATATAAGAACCTGTATAGCAGTGGTTCTCAGCCTTTTTTGTACCAGGACCCATTTGTAAACATCAGTGGCCAGAGGTCCTAACCCAGTGCCCCTCACTCCTGACTCGCTGCCCCGAGGCCCCAGCCCCACAGTGTGTAGGGCAGGAACTCTGCCATCCTGCAAAGGAAAAGCCACAGTATCCCACATTTTTCTCGTTTAAAAGAGAATTCATTTTTAAAGTTTGTTCATGACCCTTTCATATATTCTTGTGACCCACAGGTTGAGAAACGCTGCTGTATAGCATAGAAATGTCAAAATACAGATTGTTATGTTATCCTTCCTATTCATTAAAGTTAATTGTTTCCCAATTTAGTACATGACCATGAGGTTCTGATGTAATTGTGTTTCTAAATGTTACTTGGACATGTGTCCTTTATATGTATGTGTGGACCCCCTTTAATTTTACAGGTTACACATGAATAGTTACTAGAGAAGAGGCTAGTTGAGGAGAGAGGTTAAGTATGAATGCCCATCATCCTTGGATTTGTTTGCTCCCCATCTTGTGTACAGCTTGTTTACATTCAGAAGAGAGCTTCTGCAGAATCTGGGGGAAAAGAGATCATGTCCAGAGACGGTGGTAATTCTAAACCTTTTTAGATTCTAGCAAGGAGATGTGAAAGAGGCTTTTGGGACAATTTGGACCTCTGTTGGTAGCTAATTAGCTTTATCCGCTACTAAGACTGAACTTTAGTTGTTTTTTTTTTATTATTTTACTGGCTTGATCATGTAGAGTAGAAATCTGTGTTTAAAAATGTATTTGCGTAATTTCCCAGCGACTTACCTACTTCAGTTCTAATTTGGTATCTGAAGTGGAAATGTAAAACCCAAACCTTGTTTGTATACAGCTTTTGTCCCTGAGGTGAGGATGCTTTCACTGCACGTGTGCTGTTGGTGATACCATATTTTCTTCTAGATTTCTAAACAAATAGAAGATTTTAATATTTTATTCTCAGACATCCACTTAGGATTTTACATTCTGGTGTAAGAGTCAGATGTTATATTTAAAATTAACACTATATTTTCTGGCAACCTCTTTCTACCTATCCCAATATTTGAGATTAGTTAAGGGCTTCTTATCTGGTAAGTTATTTCACCAAGACTGCAGTATTCATACATGTGTGGTTTGGTGTTTTTTGGCCATTTTTGTAAATAATCTGTTACATACCTTGTTTTTGTAAGAACTTAGCTTGTGTATTTGTGAAACTTAATTCTTACAGCTGGTTCCAGTTTTCTAACTGGTAAGCAGTTTCTGGGGGAGATGAAAACTGGTGAGTTTTAATGCAAATATTCAGTTTTGCAAATAAAAGTTGTTAGCAGATGTTATCTTCAAAGTAACAAAATTAAAAAGCTATCATAGCATTGAACTTGAGAGATATTTACAAGGGAAAAGGTACTCTTTCTCTCTTTCTCTTTCCGGAATAAATTAACTCAGGGCTGTTCATCATCTACATGGCTGGGCCACACTCTTTGCGAGCTGCAGCAGTGAGGACAACACGCTACCTGGGCCACACCAATGTGAGCTGTGGGACCCCTGGGTCACACACCACACAAGTGCTGCCCTGATGCACCATGCAGGTGCCCAAGGCTGCAAACTACCCTAGAACTGTGATGTGTGCCATGTCACTGTGCCCCCTGGGGCAGAGGCAGGAAGCAGAAGGGGGAAAGGGGAACCTGGAGCCCCTGGCTGATGCTGCAGCCAGAGAAAAATAAGAGCCCAGGGGCTGCATATTAACCTCTCATGGACTGCATGTGGCCGCCAGGATGCCAGTTAGACAGCTCTAAATTGCAGTTCAAGGATGTACTGGAAAAAGAACAGTTATGTTTATAGTAGGGTAGTAGGAATGTGTCAGCTGTTTAGAATTAGAACCATGCTAGCTATGGGAAAGGGGGAGTTATAATATAGCTGACTTTTTTATACTTTTCATGAAACCATTTATATTGAGGTACCATGTTATCCTTTCAATATTGATGTTTTAGATTGTACTGGTGCTGTACGCCAAAATAGTATATGGATTTTGTAAATCTGCAAACCTGAAGATTTTTTTTTGTGGAAAATGGAGGATGCTGGTCAGTCCCACATCCTTTTTAAATGGCTCATAATGCTGTTGGATAGAATGATTTTGCAGTAGCATGGCTGTATTGCCCGAACTATTGAATTTTATCACGGGTAAAATAAATACCTGGAAACATGTTTAAACAGCCTTTACTACTAATATGCTTGTTTGTGCCTAAGACCATTTTAAATGTGCAGATATTTAATGTACCCTATTGTTTTGTAATTAGTGATGGGATGGGGAAATGGGTGTCAAAAATCCCATCCTTTTCTCTTACTGATCTCTCTGTAATCTTAGACAAATTTAGTGTATGATCTACATTGTATATTGTCCAGCTCACTCTTCATCCATAACATAGGAGTAAAACTTACTTCATATGGGTGCTGAGAAGTTTAGGTATATGATAATTGCAGATGAAAGGGAGTAGAGAAGTTGAAAGTAGTGTTATAACATCTTTAGTGTTTGCTGTGTTTAAAATGTGTAATTTTCAGGGTTGCTCAAAGAAGAGCATACTTTTAAATCTGTATAATATTGTTGCTTATATAACAATACTGTAAAATGCACTTTGAGATGTACTTAACCCTGAGCATATGAGTCATTCTAATATAGTCTATGGAATTACATGCCTACAGTTAACACTCAGAGTGTTTGCGGGATCAGGGCCTTTGTTTGAACTTGATCATTTTTTTAGAGATTCTTAAATTGACTGGATTTTTGGGTTTGAGATTTTTACAAAATCAATGGTGTTCACATTTAGCACCTTTTTTAACATTGCTCTTTTTTCCAACTTGATAGAAATGAATAACTTCTGCATAAAATATCTTCTCATTTTATATATAGTTGCCTGCCAGTAAAAGTAGCTGTGTAACATTTTATAAAAAAAGAAAGTCATGCTTCTTATCATGTTGTATGTGACTTAAATGACTGTTTCATATTAAAACTAGTCCTTCCTTATGTACTGCTTACATATACCTGTTTTGGGATATCAGTTCAGTACTTTTATACAATCTTGAATGTGTTCCACATTGGTGACATGTATTTTTGCAACAACTTTTTTTTTTTTGGTTATAAATTAGAGCATGTCTGAAGTAATACATGCATTAGTGCTGTGGTGTGTGGCAAAGTTAATGTATGTAATTCAAATTGGAAAAAAGTTTCCAGACTTTGTCCAACATGAACCCTATAGCAAGGGATTAAATTACTATGTAATACAAATGATTTCATATCATGATGTGTTTTAAGCTACTCTATGAAGTATGTGAAACATTATTGTTTATGGATTGGTAGCTGGCCTGGTATTCTTGCTAGAATGCGGTGTGTTAGACGGTAGCAATTCATGATAACTAATACAGTGAATACTTTTCAAAACACAGCATTTATGTATAGTGTGATCTTTGCATTTTTGTTATTGTGTCTTGCTTTGATTTTCTTAATGTATCACTGACAAATGGGTGCTTATTTAGTTGTATATAACAGGTGTGACAATCCAATTATATCACTTAGTTTGTGGTTTAAAAAAACTTTTTTTTCACCTACTGGACATGGACTTAAAAATGCAGGAGGCAGCTGATGCTGATGTATTTTAAATTTATTCTTGTAATGGTTGAATTCCAAGGCTTTCTTGAGGATTTGCTATATTAGAATAGCTTATTCTTTAAAATTAGAGAGAATTAAGTGTACTTAAAGCAAACTCTAAAACAAGGCAATATAACTATGATGTGCTATGTTCTGAATGTGAGTGTTCTCTAGTTTACATAAGATGTATTTCTTGTAGGGTGGTGTTTTTGCTGTATGAAAATCGTAATAAAGGGTCCTACTCAGGCCATAAGTACTTTTAGGATTTGATCCTGCGAAATGCTGAGTGTGCCACCTCTTAACTCAATGAACTGGGAGTGCTCACCCCATAGCATAGGCAGTATTAATATGGTTCTGTATTTTGGCTCATCTAGGTGTACAATCCTGTACAGCCATCTGCAGAAATGACACATCCCAAAAGTTTAAGAAATACCTCTTTCTTGCATTTCTGAGTTTGGCCTATATCGTGTATTTCAGTTACAGTCTGGTATTGAAAAATGCTTTAACTCTTGGGGCTGACTCCATAATTATTTCGTCTTCTCCTTCTTTTTGAAGAGTGTTTTATGAATTTCTGTCAGTGATAACTGGGGGTGAATGTTGAGTGGAAAAAAAAAGATTGAGATGTGACTGAAGTTTCAGAGAAAGGAGGTTTATAGTCTTTTGGATTTTTAGTCACGGATAAGATTATTTTGGTGCAGAGAAATGTAATTTAAGCAATACTCAATGTTCAGTATTATAATTTATGAAGAATTAAACAAAAATATTGATAGTGCCAAGGAATGTCTTTTATATTTTCAGGTGTTTGCCTTCTCTAGTATATCCGGATATCCAACAAAAATCATGTTTAAATCTGAACTTCCATGTAATATGCAGAGGATAATTGTACTTTTCAGCTTTTTTATATTTGTTTTTCCTTTCATTAGGTAATAGTGAATTTTTTTAGCTTTAAAATGCAAAATATGGTGATTGTAGATTTTAAAAATGTTACTAGCAATCATTTCTCACAACCTGCATGTGTAGACTTGGGGATTCTG